GGTAGTAAATGGAATGGTAAAGCCTTAGTGTAAACAAAGGTTCCTCACTGGTTTTTGCTATTGCTGCATTTAGTCAAGAGTAACTAAAATACCAAGTTACGGGCAAATCACCCCAGCTGGGTTTTTTTTTCGCCATTTGACATAATACCTGTCAATATAAAAATATAAAAACATAGTGTTACCAAAAAAACGTTTTCTTCAGGATCCGGCCCCGATTAATGCCTCCCTTTAAGTGATAACGGTAAGAAACAGTTGTTTCATTTTTGATCTTTTTATCTTTTCTGTATTCATATCCATTTTCACCGTAGCGAAGGAGGTGACGCTTTTGAGATATCGACATCCAAAATAAAAGTAGTTTAAAACGTAAATAAAGTAACGCATAATAAGAAAATTCTCTAAAGAATCAAAACAATCAAATATTTTTGCTTAAAACGGGTGAAATGTGGCTAGATCAAAGGGATTTTTGCGCAAAAGGTGCAACCATGCTTGCCTTAGGCGCAAATCGAAATCGCAAACTGTAAGAACACCAGCAGAAACATTAAAAGCAAGCAGTTTGGGGGGGTAGATATTGAAAAGAACTAAGAAATTCCACATTTTCACTGAATAAACGACTTGGGTGGGCAAATTAAATCGTTTTTTCTGCGTTTTAGATATTAATAGCCGCGCACTAGGTGGATTGAATGAAAAAAGTGTAAAAACATAAGCAAAACCATAAAAACCAGACAAAGTTCAAAAGTCTAGAAAAAAAATTGAGTCTCGCGCTAGTTTTGCTATTGCGCTGTTTTGAGTCGCGCTGTTTTGCCTACCCGCCTTATTTACATAGAATATATTAGGTTGGTAAAAAAGAAATGAGCGTCGTGTTTGTTGATTTGTATTTTATTCACAGTAAAAGATTTTTTTAAATAGTTTATTCTATTGGAAAGAGCGTGCTCTTGCACATCGTTTGATACATAATTTGTCTATGTTTACTTTGTTTTTTTTACAAGAAAGAGTGTTTAGAAAATGTCGGACCAAAAATTTCGCTTGCGGGCCTGCTTGTGGTATGAATTTAAGCAAGGCAAATCGGCTGCTGAAGCTCATCGCACTCTATCTCAAGTGTTTGACGAAGATGCTCTATCCGAAAGTCAGTGTAAACGATGGTTCCAGCGCTTCCGAGACGGCGACGAAAGCTTGGAAGACCAAAAACACGGGAGTCGACCTCAAATCATCGACAACGACGCATTGAAGGAAGCCATTGAGTCGGATCCACGCCAAACCACTCGCGACCTGGCAGAACAGTTCGGCTGCACTCATGTCACCATTGAGAACCATCTGCATGGCATGGGCAAGACGAATAAATGCGGAAAATGGGTACCGCATAAGCTATTCGACGCAAACAAGGCGACACACATCGCAATCGCCGGAATTCTCACTCACCGCGCCAAGAACAGTGGGTTTTTCGACTCCATTGTTACGTCGGATGAGAAGTGGATCCAATACGACAACACAGCAAGAAAGCGGCAGTGGTTGGACCCCGGTGAAGCTCCAAAACCGACTCCAAAACGGAACTTCCACGGAAAAAAGGTGATGCTTTGTGTTTGGTGGAACAGTAAAGACCTGGTGTACTTTGAGGTTCTGGATTTGGGTCAAACAGTTACGGCAACCCTCTACCAAGGCCAATTGGACCGCGTGGACCAGGCGCTGCGACGTCAAGGTGTGGATACGGCGTCGACAAAATTCCTCCACGACAACGCTCGGCCGCATGTCGCAAAAATCACCCAGCAGAAAATTGAAGAAATGGGCTGGGAAGTTCTGCCTCATCCGCCATACAGCCCAGACTTGGCGCCTTCCGACTACCATCTGTTCCGATCAATGCACCACTCCTTGGCCGAGAAAAAGTTCAAGAACCGCGACGAGGTCTAAATTTGGGTGTCCAACTTCTTCGAGTCGCAGCCGGTCGAGTTCTTCAAGAAGGGCATCCATTCTCCGCGTGAACGTTGGCGACAAGTCATTGATGCAGATGGCGAATACCTTTTGGATTAATGTATTGTTATCTTGTTTTTATAATAAAATAAACTTTTAACGAAAACGCGCATTTCTTTTTTACCAACCTAATACTTTTATTAATCCTTTTATAGAATCGATAGGATTTTTGTGAACTTTCTTTTCTTTTTTCTTTTCAAAAACTAATTATTCTCTTTCTTTCGCCCTCCAAAAGATAACACTGACACGACACATTTTTGCGTAAGAAAGCCGAAATTTCTCGATTGATCGATACGTCATTGTTTCGTCTTTTTTGTGACTGATTCAATTCACTTTTTATATTCATTCACTAAATTTTCACCGAATTTTCACAAAAATTTCCTAATGCATCATTTCCACTTTCTCAATCTGCCACAAGAGCTGAGAAATTGCGTTTTCAACTACGTTGATCTCTTCAAATCGATAAAATTTCTGAAGATCAACAGATTTCTAAGAAATTATATTTTATTCAAAGGACCATTCTCGAAAAATCTCCAAGAATTGAAGATTACGACTGAAGTGATCAAATTCGAGAACACGAACAATTTCGAATTTTGGATCCCAGGTTTCACGTTAAAACTTACAACCACTGATTACGAAGAAATCAGTTTCATTTTCACCGAAAGTTTGCTCACCGTCGAACATCAGAAAAAGCCATTTTACGCGGGGAAACCATTCATTCTATTCAATTCGATTACTGCTTGTAAATCAATTCATATCGATTTGCAAAATGATGAGGAATGTGAGACAAAAATCACTGAACATTTCTTGCAGAACTTGTTCAAAACGAACTTTTTACCCAAATTGGAGTCGATCTTCAATCTCAAATTTGAATCATTTATCAGTGAAAAAGCTCTAAAAATCTTCTTAACTAATTTCTCGAAAAAAGTTTTGAAAATTAGCATCTTTGACTTCATCGATCTCTCGGAGATTGATGAGGATTGCTTTGAGAAATTTCTGGTAACAACTCAAATTTCTAAAGTTCCATTAGTTTTCCTGACATCTAATCGCGGGAAGATTTTGCCGATAGTTTCTCCAGAAATCGTAATTCATTACACGGATGATGAATATTTTGTGAGAGTTATTGAGGACTATCTGGACGAGGGAGTGCTATGCAAAAACTCGGATGTGGCCACTGTTGTTTTCACAAACGAGCGAATCCCCAGTCACTTCTCAATGTCCGAATTTTTCAATTGGGTAATTGAAAGTGCAATGGATTACGCGACGGAAAATGATTTCATTTTTGAAATTGTTGAAGAAGATTCCGAGGAAGTCAAACCGTTTTTGGATTTTTTCATGAAGAAATTTGAGAGTTTCGGCGGTGAATTCATTCAGGGCTTGCCGTATATCGCGGAAAATGCGAAATTTGATAATTTTTCTTCTTTGAAAAGAGCTTATGACTATAAATTAGTGTTTAAGAAAGAGGATTCCAACGGGAAATCGATGTATTATATGGTGAGTCTGGAGGAACTCGATGAACGACATTGTACCATACAATTGTTAATGAAACGATTTTGAAAGCAAATACTTGTTGTTATAGCAATAAACTTTTTGTATGCAAAACGTCTTTTGGCTATTCTAGACTTATTGGAAATTTATTCGGCAGGATTGGTAAGAAAGATTGTAATGGATTTTGTTTGTAGCAAGAAAGTCTTTTGTGTTGAAAACAAAAAGGTACAATATTTCCGACCTCGAAATGATTATTAGAGTAAAGATGAAGTTTATTTACTTTTTTTTTGTTGAATGTCATCATCTGTACACTGACTATGAACGGATAGTATTCTACCTAACAAATAAATGACATAATTTTAAGTTTTAACAAAAAAATATATAATTAGTATTTGCCCAGCTATCAAAAACAGATACAAAAATTGATTTCACTTCATTATTGCAGCAAGCTCTACAGCCAATAAAACCATTTATGAAGCTAACATTTTTCTGAGACTTGCCACAGTGAAACCCCAAAAACTAACATACTACGTGACTATCGTTTTAAGAATCGTTCCTCTGAAGTATTTTCAAAAGATTATAAGATTCGGCATATCTTAAAACGTTCGAATCACCGCATAGTTGTCTCTGCCGAGCGGGTTTTTCGGGGCAAATCACCCTACAAATTGCACAAATTTGTTATTCACCGGTTATACAGAAATTATATCAGAATAGAGTTATTATGTAACAAGATGAGATACCTTTCTAATTGTTCATTTAAAACAAAAGATTTCGGTCCTACGGATAACTACTTTTTTTTTCTGACAGAATTGGTGGGAAGGATATTGGATCAGAAGCTAGGTCCTGTATAATGCCTCTAGTTTATTATTTATTATGTAAACACCACGCATTTTAGTCTGGCTGTGGTGAAATGACCTGCGTGAATGAATTCCAACCTGAACTCTTCAAAAAAGAATACGAAACTCTCGAAAAAATAAGTCATCAAAGTATCGTCGCTTTTATTGGAGTGACAAAAACGGAAACCTTTTGGGATTTTACAGGAATATTGCCAAAGAGGATCACTTATGAGTGATGAGTTCAATAGTGAAGGATCAAGAAAAAACCTCTACTTCTGTACTATTACATAATTACAGTATTTTAACGGATTAGATTTTAACATGCCAAAGTGCTTTCTAATTAAAAAGAAATCTTTAAAAATGGAGGAAAAATTTAAAGAAAACCACACAAAAACACTACTATTAAAATTCCTGAAATTTAGTAGTTTCGTTTCCCAGTTTAGCACTGCTCTAAATCTCCACATGGTTGCATGATTAGCCACTAAAACAGCCCAACTATATTTGTGAGAAAACATTGACCCCCGTCCTTTCAAATTTTTATTGATCCACTGATGAGTCCAAAAAATCGATTACACACGATCACAAGCAAGAAGCAAATCCCAAGTACGATTGAAAATGAGTGAGAGGGACACCGAATAAAGAAACGAGAAATTAATGTGGCAGTAGAATTGTGTTGCTTAATTATCCTTTCCATGCGCCTGAATGAAGAAGTTATTCCCCCTGGCGTCTCTGACGACGACGCTCTTTTGAGGCTTCGTGCTCACTGAGGGTACGCTGAAAAATATAATAATTCTCCACTTTATCTTATGATTAACAAGCTAGTTGATCTCTGAATTAAACTCTCACCAACTGATCCTTATTCACACGAATTGCAATGATCGCATCATCAGGTTGATCGTAGAGACTCTGCAACCAATCCACCAAAACACGCTTGCGCACGTTGAACACAAAGATAGCTTCCTCCTAAACAAAGGAATTTTCTAAACAAATCACTTCAAAAATCCCAACCTTTTCTTTCTGCGCTTTTGCCTCTTCTTTTCCGCGTTGAATCCTCCTAGCCAATTCGATTGATTGACGAGTCGATCGTTGACGCCGAGATGGTCGCTCGTGATAGGGCAAACGACTACGAGATAACATTGGTTTCGAGTGGTGAGATGAAGATTTCTAAATAAACATATTGGTCATTGATCCAAAAGAGAAATGGACTACAAGTTCAAAGATTATACCTTGCCCGAAGAACGTGCACGAGATGAGGCTAGCGATTTAGGGTGCTGAGATGAGGCAGGCACTTTGGATCGATGAGATGAGGATTTCTAAATTGGCCAAGAAGAGCAATATACGGCAAAGTTCAAAGATTATACCATGGCCGAAGAACGTGCACGAGATGCGAATGGAGTTTTAGAGCGATGAGACGATGACTTCTAAAAGAAAACAATACATATAGCTTATTAACAAGTTTCCAAGTTATCTCTATCAAAAAATTCATTAAATTTAACCTTTTCCGAAGAATATGCACATGATGACGCAGTTGAACGAGAGTATGATGGAGAGCTATTCGATCGCGAAGTTTTCCTTTTCCTTGCAACATTGCGTCCTAAAAACAAAAACTAATATAATCCAATCAAATTTCGGTACTTTGGTGGTTGGGAGAGCCACATATGTCTTCGATTTTTCGACTTTTTCTAGGGTAATCGAGGGCGTGAGTACGAATTTCCCATTTTTAACACAAATTTGCTTTTAAAAAACTGACTTGTGATCTCAAAAGGTCTAGTCATAGTTTGGGACTAGTCAGAGTTGGGGGTGAACTTAGGCAGGCTTGGGGTGGGGGTGGGTGCTGCAAGCTTTCTAGAGATAGCTCAAACAAATTCCCAACTATTTCCCGAAGAGCTTGCAGCATCCACCGTCCACCCGGGCCTTCTTAAGTGCACCACCAACTATGTGCGATTACGGCTAAACGCTCACAAAGCGAAATGTAGACACGCAAATTAGCATACGAGATCGCTAAAAAGCATCGATTTTACATTACTTACGAGATCGAAAAAGTCGGTTTTTTAAAAGCAAATCTATGTTAAAAATAGAAAATCGTACTCAGCGCCTTCGCTTAAACTAGAAAAAGTCGAAAACCCGAAGATATAGGCGGCTCCTCCCGACCTCCAAAGGACCCAAATGTCTTATAATCTACTCAAAACTCACTTCTTCGAAGCAAAGCATCAATCGTTTTCGTTGCCGTTTGGAGCCTCGGTCCGCCGCGCCCACGCATTGATTGATCCGACGTCTCAGTCTCTTCAGGAAAGCGAATGGCACTTTGAGCGCTGGAGGAGGAACTTCTACAAGAAAAAAGTAAGTTTAAGAATAGATGAATTAATTGGAAGAAACAGGAGATCACTCCTGAAAAGAAAAAACATTAGCAAGCTTAAAATTCTACTTGTACTTAAGCTTTTACAATGTCAAACTAAATTAATTTATGCTTAAAAATTGATATATTTTCTTTTAGAGTTAAGCAAAGTGCAAATAAAACCAAAAATGCAGTGAAAATTTAATAATTTTTCTCAAGAAATAAGAACAAATAAGAACAACTTTTAAGGCTAACAATATCAAAACGCGCAAACACTCACCCCTTCGTTGTCGATTCCATCCGGACGTTGCAAAAAGACGAGAAGATGCAAATAAATATTGAGCATCCTTCGGTCTAGATTTAAATGACCTTTAAATGCAAATCACGGGAAAACGTATGCAAACTAAGGACAAACTTTCAAATTTTAGAACTGCTAGCAAAGGCGCCGTGTTTTTTGCGCCAAAATCCCTTGCGCCGCGGATCATTTGTGCCAAGTGAACTTTTTTCTCAAAAAGACTTGAACCACTTACAAGAATTAGCTGATTTTGTACTTGATTGACAAAAATTAGATTATTTTGATAAATTGTTAGTTTCAAATCCATGGTCGTGCAAATTAGCTTTTTTCGACTTTAAAAAAGCATTTCTCCAAGCGCTTGACAAAAAGAACGTATGTATCACAAGAATTGTAAAATGTGAACCAAATGATTCAAAACGGGATTTGGTCGATTCAAAACCGCTAATTATCGTCTATTTTCAAAACATTTGCGGAAGGTTTTTTGTTTGTAATGTTGTCCATAAGGGAGTCCTTTGGCCAACGCAATTTCCATGATCTCGATAAACAAATTCAACTCGTCGAAGAAGCGAAGTGTAGCACACTGTAGATTTGGGCTTTTCGGCCAGTGCTAAAACAAGATACAAACAACAGTATCCAGGAATAATACCTTCGGTAAACTAGCATTAAATGATCAAGAAAGATCTGATTGATCTCCAATTCAGTTGTTTCTAGTCTCTGAATCTTCGGTGCTTCTTGCTTAATCAGTAAAACGATCCAGCTCTATTTTAGTGAAAATGACAGAGTTTCAGTTTATGGCAAACTAGCATTAAATGAACAAGAAAGATCTGATTGATATCCAATTCAGCCATTCCAACTCTCGAAATAGTCAAATTTTTGAAAATTAATCAGTAAAATGATCCAGCTATATTTGCGTGGAAGTGTCGTAGTCTCAATTTATGGTAAACTAGCATTAAATGAGCAGGAAAGATATGATTGATATTTCTTTAATTTCTTGATGAGAGTCAGAGTTTTGAGGATTTAATGACGAAAATTCAAAGAGCAAATTAATGTGAGTCGTTCGAATTAAAGATAGAAATTTTCACCAATGCAACTTTTCTCAAATAAGGCGTTGTCTAAAACGTCTAAAACGTGTAAATTTTTGAACTAAGTCGGAAAAATCGGAAAAAGTGAAAAAATAGGGTATTCTGGCTAAGTATTCTTGCATTCTGAGATGAGTTTTGAGCGAATTTATTGACTAAACTTCAAAACTTTTCAAAGTTACAATTAGGACTTTTGAACTGACCAATTTTCGAATATAAATACCGCCTTCTAAGAGCCAAAATTTGTGCTATCTCTATCTGGTTATTGCGCGCGCCCGGGGATCCAACGATCGTGAGTTCGGTCCCGCCCACAGTCATACTTCCTCAGCTGACTTTTTGAGCTGATTTTGAGCTTCCAGTTCCTCTTTTTGGAGAACCTTTTGAACAAAAAATTCCAGGCAGTCCTCGCGTTAATTGTTTGGATCGGAGGACTGATTCTCGGATCATTCAAACTTCTACATTCAATTCTTAATTACAGAAATAGATATCGATCACGGGTTTACCTGAAGAATTTCGACTCAAGCTATTGAAATACACCTCATATTTAACTTTTCGTAATTATCGTTCATTTTCTATTGCGAAGCTCGTCGATTTTAAATAAAACAATAAATCACTTCTTTTACAGTGAATTATAAATTCAGCCATTCTTATCCAATAGCTTAACGATGAATTAATCATTAATTAAATTATCATTTACTTTCTATTGGAAAACGATTGTCTTATTTTTTCGGAGATGAAGTCTTTCTATTCACCCAACCTTTGTTTTCCAACGAAATTCTTCGAATAAATCTTAGTCCTTAGTTTATAGTTAGAGTAAACGAGAGTCTTTTCAATTCTTTTTATAACAGATCAATCCTTTTGGGATTTCAATAGAGATTTCAATAGATTTCAATCTTTTGGGATTTCAATTTCAATAACTATTAAATAACTGGAGGCTTTCTTTAATAAAGCAACTTTTTTATTTTTCTCTAAGCAAAATTTTCCTATTATTTTTCACCTGTTTGAGGGGAAAAGGGGAGAAAAGACAGCTAAAAAAAATCAATTTCACCCAGCCAACAAGGGAGGACCTCCGCACTTTCGCCTGTTTGCACAAAAGGTGGAAAGATAGCTAGAATTTCCGAAAACTTTTTGTCTAAAACACTTTAAGCATCTTACTTTACAATATATTTGAAGATTTAGTAATTATTTTCTAAAGATATACAGTACTGGACAATGAAATATCATCTTTGAAAAAAGATGATCACTTTCGCGCGTCTGTAACCCCCTTGTCTTTGAGTTTAAACTATTAGTGTTATACATTTTCTGAAAGCTCTTTTCAAGGGCTACACAATGGTAATAATAATATTTCAAAATACGGTAAAGACAAGGGAGTTACAGACGCGCGAAAGTGACGATCGTTTTTCAAATATCATATTTCATTGTCCAGTAGTGTATACTAGTTTTTATATTGTGGCCATTCGAATCTGATTTTTCTATTCTAATTGAGCTTCTTTGACGCAAAAATTCGACTTCTTTACTATATTTATACTACTTTTTTTTTCAGTTAAAGAGGCTTTTAAGGCAATTCTTGTTAGGCAAACAATAAGAAAACTTTTTTAGGAAGCTCTTTTATCGTCATAATTTTTATTTCCCAAACGAGGAAAACATTATTACGTCATTTATTCACAAATCTGATCAGCTACGAGTTATAGTGTAAAACTTGTCTTTTAGAGAAATTATTGGAATATTCTAGTCTATACTTTTAACCACAGTCTATACTTTTAACCACCAACTGTACTTTACTCTAATATGGTTTCAATATGGTTCCAATATGGTTCCAATATGTTCCTTCCAAGAATAAGGTTCCAATAGGGTTCCAATATAGGTTTTCGGCCACATTTTTTTGGTGAATTATACCATTTTCGAGAGTATTCTGGTGAAGTCCCCCATGTTTAACATATATTTATCCTGAACTGAACTTTACTCTGAACACTTTTAATCTCTTCCCGAGAGAACTTTTGGTTAATCATATTAATATTATATTTTACAGGGTATTCAAGTGGATTCCCGGCAAATATATCAAGATTTTCTCCCTAAAATGCCGTTCAACTTCTCTGTCCTTCCGCATCTCTTGAAAGCTTCGATTCTCGATTGGTTACATGATAACGAAGCCTTCATTTTGCTGCAAGTAAGTAAACGGACGGGATCTCTAATCTTTAAAAGAGGATTATTCCCGAAATATATCGAAGAGATCAATATCGGATCCTACGAGCATCTATTATCTGAGGATAACTGGTTACCCATCGGCCATATTTCTCTTTTATTACGTGGTTATTCCCTAAAAACCCTTAAAGACTCTGTTTCTCTATGGCCTATTGCTAAACTCGATTTCGTTCCTCCAAAAATTTTCGATGAAAACGAAAAACCGTTGAAATGGCATAAGAAAAATGGGATTTTTCGGAGTAAAATCTACTTTTTAGATGAGAATCTTCTCTGGAAACAATTGAATAAAATTAAGTTTTGTAAAAAAGTTCACTTTGGTCTTTGGGGAAGGAAAGATTTATATCCTGTTATCAGAAAAAGAATAAATAATAATCAATTTTTCTCGAATCTTATTGCTACCAAAGCTTTTTTGATCAGTTCTCGAATAGCTTTTGGGAGAAGGATTTTCGAGAATTTCCGTCCGAATTCTATTGACGAATTGTGGTTCTTTGGATGTCAACAAGAGACGACAGAAAAGGAGATAACTCAATATCATTTAGAAATTCTACAAAAAGCCCCTTTTTGTAACTGTTCGACGATTTATATGGACTCAAGCTTGGTTGATTTTAAAATCACGAGAAAAATTGGCGCTGAACATGTTGGGATTCAAATCTCGGACTTTGATCATTTAACAACTACCCTGAAAGAATATCTGAAGAATGGACCAACTAGTAATGAGAAAACCTGTGTTCAAATCCGAACTTCGACAAATTTCGATCGAGATTTGGAGGAATTAGATACGGATTTGATAAAAATCATTGAAGAATCAGGAACAGAACAACTTGATTTGAAGAATTTCACCGAAAATCACCCGAATTTCGAGGTTTCTATCGAAAAGTTGGCCTATTTCACGAAGTTTACTCATGAGTACGAGACTTTCCAATCAATACATTTCACTCAGCCAACCGGATATGACTTCGATCGAGAGATCCATCCATTACAGAAGACTACCAGGAGGATTTTTCTCCAAAAACTCCGCCATTTTGAATGGATTTTAACGCTTTGGGTGGAAAATTTGAGTAATTTTGCCAGTCCATCATACAGTGCCTCGTTGATTTGGATCCCAAAGCCAAAATAAGAAAAAAATTTGTCTCGGTTTTCTTTGTTTGACTTTCGTACTTGAAATAAATCGACTTCTCTCTCCTTTTAATAAATGCGGAAAACTTCTACAAACTATTGATATCGTAAAATTTGCATTTAAATTCGTTTACAATTTTGCCTTTACACTAAATACATTGATAAAAATAGCAAAAGCATCTCTTGAAGGCATATAGTACTCCAATAAAATAAAACAGAATTTTGGCCGCCAAACAAATAAATATTCCATCAAAGTTTTGGCAAAACTTCTTAGAGTTACTTGTTTATGTCTGTCTAAGCTTCTTAAACAAAATAGATATATGTTTCGGCCGATCTAGACTGATTCTAGATCAGACGTCGGATCTAGAGTGAAGTGAGATCAAACGTACGATCTAGAATCAAGGCGATCACTCTAAATCTAAGTCTGGATCGGACGTCTGATTTAGAGTGATCGGCTTGATTCTAGATTGGACGTTTGACCTCACTTCACTCAAGATCGAAAACTCCGGTCTAGAATCAGTCTAGGTCGGATGGTTTTCTAGATTGGACAGATTTCTAGATCCGACGTAACATATGCATAAGTTGCCTGTTAAATGCTAGGTTGTCCCAAAGTGCGCTTACTTGCTTTTTTTGCTTGTTTGAGAGTGGCAGAAAATTCAGAATCAAGTTATTTGAGTTAAAAATTGAACAATTTTAATAATAACCGTTACTATTTACTCGTTTAGTCGCTCCTAAGGTGAATGTGAATAAAGAGTTCATGGCTTATTAGACTCAATCGAGAGGGGACAACAGCCCATTGATCGATCAAATCAAAATTTCTCCGAATGTAAATTGCAAACAAATCCTTTAATTGCTTCAAATTTGCTAAATTCTTGTCCTATTCTACAAGTTATTTAGCTTAATTCGGTCACTGGAATATGCCTAAAAAGGAGTCATTTCTTAGGATTTCGAGTTATCAAGAGATGGAGAAAAGAAAGATCAGATTTACTTTTGATCTCAAAAAACCATTTGCAGAAAAATGGTTTTGGATACTTTTTCTTTAACAATCATCTTAGACCACCTCAGCATCAACTCCTAGTCCTTTCACAAGTTAACTAAAACAGTTAACAACTACACTACTGGACAATGAAATATGATATTTGAAAAACGATCGTCACTTTCGTGCGTCTGTAACTCCCTTGTCTTTATCGTATTTCTAAATATTAATATTACCATTGTGTAGCCGTTGAAAAGAGCTTTCAGAAAATGTATAACACTAATAGTTTAAACTCAAAGATAAGGGAGTTACAGACGCGCGAAAGTGACGATCGTTTTTCAAATATCATATTTCATTGTCCAGTACTGTACTTCCACAACAATATCTACAACATATATTAGATTAATAATTAATGATTCCAGTGTTTTCAGAACCACTTCCACAACTACTTGAGCGTATTTTTTGTTGCTTAAACTTTGAGATTAATCTTTTAGAACTACTTCTACGACAACTACAAATATAAAATCTCCACCACGACGTCCAACATCCAACTACGGTAGGTCAAATAGTCATTTTAATTCAAGCCACTTTATAAACAAACATTGCTACATCAGTAAGTTTGGTTAAACTACAGAGGTTGGCCTTTCAGTGATCTCTTTGATCACAGTTTCACTAGCCGTTTCAGCTAGATTATCCTTCTTTGATCTCGACAAAGTTTTTTGCAAAAGGCAGAGGAAAGGGAACTCATTTTGATCATTTGTTTGTAATTGTTGAAAATGAGATGCCTTCTTCCGTTATTCTTCGTCTTCGTGCCTCGACTTCTATCTTATCCACCGGAAATTAGTGACTCTGTTGTTGGGAAGATTTTCGCCGATCAGTCAAATAAAACGATCAAAGCGGGAACTGAGGTGATCTATTCAAAAAGCACTACAATTTTTTTGTTTGTTGCTTAAAATAAGAAATTTTCGTCTCAAAAGATGAAAAACTCACTCAACTAGTCGATTTCTAGGTAAGCCTAGTTTCTAGCTTGCCTAATATTTTGTATTTTTCCGAATAGTAAGCGACTTTCCAATAGAAAGACACCCCTCAAAGTTAAATTTGAAGGTTCGAAAGTCAACTTTTTCAACAAAATTTTCTGGAGCAAGTGGAGGTGGAACTGGAACGGGGAAATGCAAAAAAGGCTCTTTTCATCGATATCCTTGCATGCTTTTGAGAAATCAACAAATTTTCTGATGAAAACACACACACAAACATATGGGCAGCAGGTATATAGCAAAAGCGATTGCAGTAAAATTTAAATTGATCCTGCAAGAGACCACGTTGATTTTCGAGGCTTAGATATCTGAGGGTCTGTCACAAGAAAAATATTTTTGCCTTAAATGTGTTTTTCGTAA